CACATCCTGTCTCATGTCTGCATGATGTCTTGCGCATCTGAGGAAACTGAAGAGCAATTCAGATCGTACTGAGGTGAACCCATATTGGGTGACCAGCTGAAATTGCCAGTTGGACTCTCTTAACTCAGGGTCACCCATGTAGGCATCGACACTTGAGGTGCCTTATGCTGACTGGAATCTCGCCCTATCTCTGCTATGCCTTAACCACTGGCACTTAACAGCCCTGACTATTGATTACAGGAGAAAAAGTTAAATTCAGCAAATGGTTCAAATCTTACAGGTGACTGTATTATAGACAATTGGTTATTAGCAACATGTAAGTGATACTACTGTTTCATTCTAAGCGTTTCTGCTGTATTGCATAGTTAGTTAACTTTTGCGTTAGTTAACTTTTTGACACTAGTAGACAACGCTGCATCATTCACTTGTATTGCTGTCACGTGTTCTCCATTCTCCTGGCAGATCCTCATGCAATTAGAAATAAGGCAAAACTGTAATAGTTAATTTGTTAAAACATGAACTTTAAGTTGGCATTCAAAAAAACAGTCTTCATTTTCTGAAGGTGGCATAGCTTTAGGTATAAAACAGAATTTTCTGGATAACTACAGCTGGTGAGATTTTATGCTGTGAGTGACTGATTACTTGGAGGGTAAATTTCAGATTAATTCTGTCAAAAGTGATAAATTGCTCATTGTTTATTGCAGTATACCAATCAAGTTCAGCTAATGCAACTACAACATGCTGCAATTTTTAGGGGTACCAGTGGAAGCTTTTGCAGATTATTTTAAATTGTGCCAAATTCCTGTCAGGATGGATTCCAATTTAGTTTTTCTAAAATAGTTAATAAAACCAAAACCTGTGCAGATCTAAACCACCAAAATATTTAAAAATGTGAAGCTTATATTCTTCTAGTTCATCAGCTAGACATGCATTTAGATTATATGCTTGTTTTGTACATTTTCTGATTACTTAGAATATATTCTGCAGAAGCTTATCTGAAGTGAATATATAAGCAGTGTACAAAAAGTCCGTTTAAACGTGTGCCTTTATCAGTTTGCTTTCACATAATTGAACTTTGCGAAACTTCAGAAATTATTTCCACTTTGGCTCTTGTGTTTTATAGTAAAAATCCCTTTGTCTTAAAAGTAATGCTTATCTTTTACGTTGGTTTGTAAACTTCACAGTCAAAACATTCTTATAGCATCTATATGTGTGTGTATATGTGTGTGTGTATATATATATTTTTAAATTAAATATTTTTAAGGAACTGGTAAGAGCAAGGCAGCAAAGAAATGTCCAGGTCAGCTGAATATGGTATTTTTTTACGCCTGCAGAAAAGGAATATAAAGCATTTTACAGCTATTTAAGGAGAGTTATAGGAATAAATTGTAGGACTGCCCTCTTCGATCTTGTTACCATCAGATCTCTCATGAATCAGAGTTTGGGTGAGTCAGAATTCATGTTAAATGAGAGGTTTCTAAAGCTGTTTGTTGTTTTAACAGGCAACAGAAAGAAGAAGAACCTTTCTTCTCAATTTACTTCTTGAATGTCAGTGTTCTCACACATTTATTTACAATTTTTACATTTACATTTTCTTACCTTTCTGATAAACATCTTCGGTAAGTAAGAGATACTGTTCAAGTTTCTATTGTTAAAACAGACTTCATCAGTGGTGCAGATTGATTGGACCCTTTCTGTTTCTTGGGAATAGGCAGTCATTTGTAGGAACTCTGGCAAATTGTAGAAGAATTTCTATAAAGTTGTAGTTCCTGAGTGATAACATAATTTGTAGTCCTAGATTTTTCTTGCTTTAGAGAAGGTTATCTCTTGTTGCTGTCTGTATAGAAATTTTTACTTCAAACACTCTTAAGTGATAGAAATGTTTTGATAAGAAGTGCTCTTAAGATAGTAGGATTGTATTCATTGGGCTTTGCTTATTTGCTGGCTCTGTTTGTAGTTTTGTTGCCTCTTCTCGTGAATTTTAACAAGTTAACCTCACTAGGGCATGATACCATCATACTGGAAGTGAATTCTGGGTTAATTCTTTTTCCAGGTTTAATACACTGCTGTATGTATAACTTCAGAGTTCTGTCATAGAAAGCAGTGGCTCAATAAAGAGTGCTGAATCTTGAGTGTATGTCAGTCATATATCACTAAATTTAGCACATACTGTGAACCCATCTAAGGATTTTCTGCTTGCTGTATTTGACAGATAGCCCTCAGTTTTTGACATCACAGTTTCTGAAAAATAATACCTTCTGCAGTGAAAACAGAGAAATATTAAAAGAAATACTAAAAGTGGTATGCCTGAGTAACTATCCTGGGGACTGTGTTTGTACATGCCAAGGGCAGAATGCAGTCAATAGTGACTTCTCTTGTTGTATTCCTGACAAATTTGTTCAGGTCTGTTACCTATTGAGTTGTACATTAGAATAATCTCCCATTCTGAAGTTAAATTTTCCTTAGAGAATGTAGTCTTCTCCTCTTTGTGTGTGTGTGTGTGTGTGTGTGAAATCGGCATTCTACTGGTCCCTTGTGATATTTGATAAAAAGGCATTTTCAAGTCAATTTAAACATATCTGGTAAATGGTTTCTTTATAAGTATCTATTTTATATAAAGATGTATTTATGCACATGTATAAAATGTATTTCTTCAGCATGAACCTTATTTTTCATCTTAAGGGGGCTGTGTCCTTTTCTTTGTTCCTTTTAGGAATTCTCCTGGAACTTCCAATCTTCAATTAATTTGCTTTTAATGTACTGTGATATCTGCAGGTCTATAGAAATGCAGTCATAGTTCACTATTCCAGTATCCATGATGTTTTTCTTGTCTTAGAAGCTGTCAGTGGTACTTAATACATTACTTCAGTTATAGGATTCTATCTATAATTGAAGACCATAAATAAAATGAGAAATAGTATCTTTACTGGCAGAGAATAAAAATATATATGTATATATGTACTTATCATTTTTAGTATATTTTTTACTGATTGCTGCTTACATTTCTACCTTACTTTCATTCTGGTTTTATATTTATTACTGTTACAATTTTGAGTCAGCAAATTGTAACTGGAAATAGTACTAAAAGTGAGAGGAGAATATGCATAAAACCGTAGGTGCATTGAACATGGTAGAAAGAATGCAAGAAACATGGAAGTAGAAGTAAGCAGAAAAATAAATTAATTTATAACCATTTATTACCTTGATAATGTATGTCTCTTGGAATAATTATTGTTTTGTGTTGCTTTGGGTAAAAAACAGAGGACACTTCAGCTGTGCAAACCATAAAACATCTGCCTGCCTTTTCCAGACTTCATAGTACATCAGTTGTCGTCTTGCTTTTTATTGCTGCAAGGTTGGCCCCTTGCTACCAAAGCAAATTATCCTGCATCTGTATAGTTTCCATCCACACATTCCGTTACATATTTTGTGGATTCTGCCTGTTGAATCCAGCCTTTTAAGTCAATTCTGCTGAAAGTAGCTCCACTGAAAAGAGAGGAAAGATTACATGTAGCCATAGCTTCTCTGATCTGTGCTAAAGGAATTTATCGTTTCTTGGTCTCTTCTTTTGACGGTGTAAACCAGTGAAGGCCCACAAATCTTGTCTTCGCTGTATACTGTAATGCATGATAAGATGTGCTCAGCATCGGGGGGCGGGGGGTGACACTAGGTCGTTTGTTGGTGTAGCCAAATGACATGCCATTGTTTTGCAACAAATACAAGTTTTGAAAGATCTTCCTAACGGTAAGGTCTAGGAATTACTGGGTCCTTGTTGAATATTCAGTATAAATGCCCAGCTCTGAGAAAATTATTTGTTTAGGCTCTTAAGCTAAGCTGACTTTAATTTCCAAGTTGATTATTTTTTTAGAGCCCTATTCCAAACAGTTTTCTGCAGCATTTCTTCTGATTTTGTATCAGTAAGCCTCCTGAAATAAATTAAAACTTTGAATTCACTCCAAGCCTACTTGTTATATTAAATAAGCTGTATGTCCTTGGACAAGGAAAGGGAAAGTTTTGACCAAATGATACATCCAGTCATCTTCGAACTGATAAAAGCATCTTGACATCCTATTTATAAATTACAGTATTCAGTGTCTGTGCGAAGAATTTTTTTAATGTCTGTGTTTATTGGTTTGTGCTGTAATTTGCATATTGCCATTTCTTATTAAGTATAACACATTAAATATTTTTAACATTATATAAACATTAGAATATTTTCTTCACCTCTGTATTCTTCTAATGCAAATGCCCTACGCTATATGAAAGTATTAATTTTTAAAAAAATCAGTTGTCACTTATTTATGTTTTTGCTGTAAATTAATCTGTAATATTAGAACCACGAATGAGATAACGAGGGAAAAGAGTTAACCTTACTCTGAAGTGATTAGGTTTTGGGGAACAGGACAGAGGGAAATGTTATACAATGTGACTTAAAAATTCATCCACTGTTTTAAGGGACTTTTGTTGGTATTTAAGTGTTCTTATCCAGTTCTTGCTTTTACCTCTCAATTATTATTTTGCCTGTCTTGAAACAGAGTACAGTGACAGTATTCTCATAATGAAAGGCTGTTAGGCATCACATTAGCTTCTACATGTACTATTCCTGTCCATGTGATTTGCAGCAGCTTAAAATATTTCCTTGTGAGTCTTTTTGCATGGCTTAACGTTCCCCTCACATGATCAAAATAAAAGAATCATGATAAATGAGCATTGAATAAACATGTTCAAGATAAGAATTTTGATTTGAGTTTAAAATTGTTCTGTTTCCTGCTTTCCTTTGTTCTCAAGGGAATAGGCCTTGTTTTAATAAAAGGGTCGCTAATGTCAGAACTCTTAGGACCTTGCATTTTTTCAGTTCCTAGTTTTACCCGAGTTTTGTGTCACATGCCCAGCATAAACTGAATTATTTCATTGTTCTAATAGTTGCACAACATGAGGCATTTAAAGCCCTCTAAAGGTATCAATAGCTGTTAAGTTTTCAAATTATTTTTCTTTTACAGGTTCCTTACAGCCTTTTCTGGAAGCCTGCAGTAATGAATCCTTCTTCCGTACTTGCTCTGTATTGCTTCGAAGTTCTAAGCTAGATACTCAGATTTTGGAAAAGCTCTGTGTTATTCTGCAAAAACTCTCCAGAATAAAGTAATCCTTTACTACCATTATTCTGTTAGTTATTATTAGATCAGCAAACTTTATCTTTCTCCTCTTTCAAAAACTCATCTCTGTTTTGCTGTTTATTTGGTCTACCGTAGACAATGCTGGACTTTCTCTGTTAGCAGTTAAATTTAAACTGTTTGTGTCACAGATGTGTAAGACAAGAATCTCAATTTGCTTATAAATCGAGTTCAATTTACAGAATGCAAACAAACAAACAAAGAAAAACTAGCCTAAACTAGTCCATAACTAGCCATAACTATTCCTTATGTATGCAGATGACAAGAATGCTTAGAAGAGAACCTTTCTTTTCTTTCCGCTTGACCTTCAGTTTTATGTGGGTACTTGGTAATAATCTCCTTTGAAAATTTAGCCTCATCTGTGACTTGCATTCAAGTCTCATCAGTTTTCATTTCCTTCAATAAAAATAAATTTAAAGTCTTGAGCCATTTAAGCCCTTTTGGGAATGTTAATCTTTATAAAATATGTCCCTGTTGCTTACTGGTTATTAGTTTATTGTAACAAAGGTCGACATCATATCAGTAGTAATGTGCTGCTGAGCTCCATTGGTGCATTACTTAATGAGATTGTTTCATTTATAAAAGCAGGTGTGTAAACTGAGCCATTTTTTACATTAGACTTAAAGTTGTTGACAAAACAGGTTTTCATTTTACTTTATTTGGAACAAAATTGAACACTAGGAAGAAAAATACGCTTTCCTATAAAATAAACTAATATAAATCATAACTTACATTGGAAATAGACTAAAAGTAAAATTTGCTCAGAAATCCTAATTATTTAAATTCTTTTATTTATTGGTTTTGGAATCTTATTTCACATTAGTGAAACCCTGTTATAGCCTGTCCTTGAGCTTTCATTATACTACATGTAAATACCACTTACTCAAGTGAAATGATAGGTTTTGGTGATTTTTGCCAAGATTTTTTTCTCCATGCATTGATAACCTTCTGCTTAGAGACATTATATGAAACGTAGAAGAATTATAAAAAACTCCCAATATAATGTACATTTTTCTTCATTAAAAAAAAAAAATTTTCTGTGGAATCTTTAGTGTTCAGATGAAACCTCTCAATTTTCAGCTGACAATTATTTTATGTAAAATCTTTTGCAGAAGCAATAAGAAGATGTTTGAATTGTTTACTCTTCACCAAATGATCCAAGAACTACATAGGACTACAAATCCAGATCATGCTTTCCTCTATATAAACCTCAATTCAATTCTGTTGAATTTGGGATTGTCAAGGAGTAACTCTCTTACCTCCAGTCGAAGCATAAGTCACTAGCACTGTCTTTCAATCTAATTATTTTTCTGTATAATTTATACCAACTGCCTATGTTACCTGAAATGTGGATTTTTTTTTTTTTTTTACTGTTTTCTATAAATAAATTAAGCAGAACCTCAGTACTGTATAAGTTACTCTGTATCATGTGGAATCTCATTGATATTTCCCTCATTTATAAACAGGAAAATGAAAAATTGCATAATATGCTAAATGGCTTTCTTCAGTACTTTTTAAGGAAGTGAAATAATGCCGCTGTTCTGAATGACTCATGTGATCTAAGGAAGTGGGTCCCTTGAGTAAGCAGATCAGAAATACCAACCTTTCCTTACAGGTATGAATCTTAGTTACCTTTGACTCTTCAGAGAGTTTTATAAATTCATGTGTCTATTTTATGGTTGATAAGTAACAGACAGGTATCTTATCAAATTATCTTTTCACATAATTACAGTTTTAATGATTAAAACCAGATTTTGATTTAACATAACTAGATGTGTTGAATGAGAAATTTTGTTGTTGCTGCTTTGATTTCAGAATGTCTTAGTGTTAGTTTGATCTTTTCCTGTATTTATGTAACATTTCGTATTTTATCCTGCTTTGTATGAATTTCTAGTGTAACTTTGGGTTGTACTATCTCTGAAAATGTAAATAAAAACATTTCTTAAAATGCCTGGCAATAGTAATCCCTCATGTAAAATTATTATATTTTATTGTTTCTGCTGTATTTTATATTAATTTGCAATAAAATCCCCCTTTGGTCTCTTAGGACGCACATTTCTTGTCTGTGTGTGATGAATATATTTTTTGCCTGCCACAGTTCAGTGTTCAGAAGTTCTTACACATAGGAAATAGGATACTTTTTAAAAATTCAACTTAGTCTTCCATTTCTGATTTGTACTGTAACTACTGAAACTCTCTAATTGTAAAATTGAAACTGCAATTAAAATTTAAAGATCTGCTGTGTGTTAGTCTTTGACTAACACTGTCTGGCAGTATAAAATTTGAGAGGTTTACTTCTCATTTTCATACTTTTTTTTTCTTGGTTTTACTTTGTATTTTTTACCAGAAGTCTTTAAACTGAGTCTTTGTAGTTGAATTCTATCTGCAAATATTTTTCTAGCAATTTGACTTACATTTCTGACAAGCTTTCATATGAAAGGAGTCTACCCCAGATTTGGCACCAAGTACGTCTGGAAGAGAGAGCAAGCAGTGTGTACTCTGTGGGCAGGAAACCAATTCTAGGTAATTTTTAAATAACACTAATCATAGCTAAAAGCTTTTGCTGACAATGGGTTATGTTTTGGAATAAGTATTTCTTCATCTGTAGTTTTGGTTTTCTGTCGGATTTACTAGCAATGCAAAATCTTGTATATATCTTTGGCTGGAGACAAAATCCTCTTACTTAGGAAGTGTGTTCCCAGTCCTCATGTGCGGCTCTGTCTGCTTGGTCATTAAAAAATACTAGAATGTTAATAACCAAAAAAAGCTGTAGAAAGTTGTTAGGTTTCCTATATCCACAGGAATGTTGACTGTCCTCTTGACTTTCAGCCTTTATCACTGTTTGTCAATCTACTAATCTTCCTTGTGGTACCAGTTTAACACAATGTGTTCATCTGATAATAGCAAAGGTAATGCGGTAAAAGAGGCGCATAGAGTATGGTGTAGCTTTTACTATTGGTCCCTTGTGTTTTATATGCAGTAGTGTTTACAGTCTGAAAAGATGAATCACTGTTAACTTCAAGTTTTTATGATCTAGAATGTTTCTGTTAAAATGCAAAAAAAAAAAAGTTTTTTGAATCTTTTAAATATTAATGTAATTAAATTGACTGATGAACTAAGGATGAGACTAATGGTTTTGATCTTAAGTAAATTTTAACTGAGCTATGAAGAAAAATACAAGTTCTTTGATTGCACGTTCATATTACAGTAAACAAAAAGTATCGTAAATAAAGAAATAAATTAATTATGCAAATGAACATGAAGTCTCTTGTGAAGAATAGATACTTCTGTAAATAAAAAAGCTATAGTAAATTTCCAAGATGTGCATGTCATTTTTGACTCAGGGTAATAATTCTTGGGTAAAAAATGAAAGTCACAAATACATTCTAGTGGAGTCATATGGAGGCTAGGCTTGCGATGGTAGAAGTGAATTTTTTTGAAGCTAGTTGTTGACAGACAACTTGTAGTAGTTCCTTAGTACATTGTCATGAAGCTTTCCAGTGACGATCTTTAAAGAATATAAACCATGCCATGTTTTTTCCCAAATTTATTACTAATCAATCCTGTTAATGCAGAAATATTTATGAAGCCTCCTAATATCTAGAAAGGTAAAACAATGATGAATTTGGAATTGATTTTATTTGCCATCAGATTTTCAGTTTGCGTTGGATTGCATCTTTAAATGTACATGGTTTTATGGGACATGCAGACTGTAAATACAAGTGAAAAGATTGTTTTACAACAATATGATTTCAGGATGAGACACTTCAAGGAAAGTAAAATGTCAGTCTACCAAAAATGGAACTAAAATGATTGGAAATAATCTGAAATGGAGATTTTTTGCTCTATTCTGTTTCAATTTGTAATTGATTATCTAGTGTAACTAAGCTAACTAATAATGGCGTCCACATTAGAAGGATAGGTAACCTAGCTTGCCTTCGTCATTAAAAGGCAGAAGTAGGTGCCAGGATAAATATTGTACCAAAATCACAGTTACTTCTGTATTTCTGCTTCTAAATATTTGGTATATCAAATTTTGTACGCACCTACTTGTTGCACTGTCTTGAATATCAGTCTTGTGGGCCAGCCCACCCCAGTTGTCCAGTCCATGTTGTGGCCTTGCGCAAACATCCCCATCCTGTTATCATTCCCCTGAGTGACCTTGGCAGCCTCTGGGCAGAAGGGGAACAGCAGAAGTTGGTTGCGTTCCCTGCTGTCTGTTGTGGATTTGGTTTGGTTTTGGTTTGGGAAGGATAGATTTCTGTCGAGTTGGCCACACTTTGGGCATCTCTTTATATAGTCTTGCCTTCTCAGATGGAATCTTGAATTTCCTGGGGGTTTTCTGCTTTTGCAGCACTTGGGTAGTGTAATATCAGTATGAATGTCAACTACTTTATCCTTCTCTCAGAAGAACGTTTACAACAAGAGACATTAGAAAAAGGTAACTGTAACTCCAGCTATTTCCCACGGTTCCCAATTCCCTAAGGAAATGTGGTTTATGTGATCACTGGCTGGCTGCATTCCTGAAAAGGGATACACTATTTTGAATATGCCAGCCACCTCTGGCCAGATTTGGCAGCAGGCAAGAGAATATTAACTTTCAACCATTTTTTTCAGAGAATTTGAGGAGAGGAGAGAAGCTTTATGAATACTTGCACTTAAAAGACAGACAGGGACTCGCACTTTCTCGTAGCAGCCAGCTGATCGGTCAGAACGCGTAGCTTCAAACTAGCTACAATCTGCCATGTCTTGCTTGCGTGTAGGTCTCCAGAAACGATTAACTACCATCACTGGCATGAAACGAAGAAAGTTTCTGGTAGTCACAACCTGTCACCTTGTTGGTTTTTGGAGCAGCTGTGAGAGTCCTCATTGGGAAAGTCAACGAGAATATTGCACCTGCTTATGTTAGGATAGTTTTCATCCCAGAAATGTCTACCAAACTTGAAGAGAATTTTTTTTTTTTTTTACAAATCCATCTATTGTAGAACTGTAATTGCCCTTGCTGTTTATTGAAGGCTTCCTATTGACAAATGGGCAAGACAATGTTTTAGACCCAATCTACAAAGTCTAGATTTGGCAAATCTGTAAGAAAGATTGTTCTGTGGACAGGGGACAGTTGTATTTGCAGAAGCTTGGCAGATCTAAATAAAGGAGCATTACCCAGCACAGTTTCTTCATATTTCACATTTCTTCACGTTTCTGGTTCTTCATATTTGTGACTTTCACCAGCTAATAAAAGGTCTGTCTCTTAAAGTGGGATTTCATAGTTATCTTCCAGTTCTCCTGAACATGACTGGCTTGCATCTTTTTTAATGTTATATACCTGAAATTAATATATTATGGGGAAAAATTTCTTGTAGCAGATAAATTAAACTGAAAGGTGAAAGTATGCTGAAGGGAACATATTTTTGAAGAACTTTTATTCACGATCAGCATCAATGTCTAAAATATATGATTTAATTTACCAGACAGATTTAAAAGGAGCTGTAAGCAGAGCTCATAATTCAGAGCTATGACACTGGATCCTTTCATTATATACTGAATTTTTCACCTAAAACTTATACAGCTTCAGGGGTTGATGGTCTGATAGAAAGCATTTATCTTCAGGATAACATATTTAAATTTAATCCAGAAAGTCTGAAAATCTGATCTGTGAAACCATTTGGTAATCTTCCACTTTCCAACTGGTTAGAGGAACTGTGGTGGCAAAGCAGTGACCCCTTGTGCTCCTCTTAATGATATAATGCTCACATGTTCTTAAAGTTCACAAAAATTATTTTAAAAGTAATAGTGCTGCACAGTGTTGTGATCCAACCTTTGACATCCCCCTGAGAAATGCTTTGATGGGCAAAAGCATCTTTATGTGCTATACTGACAATTGTAGTGTGCTGTGTCAAAACCACCACTATCCATTGTCCAAAATAAATGCATTTTGGGCTGATGAAAGCCTTTAATGCCATCTTCTGACCATGGTTAGGAACATTCCTGTTTATTAGATTTTTGGTTTTCACGTACTTTTGAAAGCAACTGTCTTGCATATTTATGACTACCTGATCACTAGTAGAATAGATCACTTACCATTTACTTGCTTGTAGCTCCTTTTTTTTGAGTGAATGGTCCTGAGTCGAAATTTAAGAAGACATAACTCACAAGACATTCTGATCTCTAAAGTCACACTGAGAGAATTACCTGAGGAAAAGAGATCCGAGAAGCCATATATATATTTTAAAAAAACCCAAAACAATTCTCTCTGTACCCGTTACTGAAGGATATTTAGAGTGGTC